ACCCCCCCCCGCCAGCCACACCTGCTCTTGGAGGAGAGGGGTGAAGGCTCAGCCTCCCTTGCTATGCCATCACCCCTCCCCCTCCCACCCCACATTCCATGTTTGCCTTAAGCCTCACCTCCTTAACCTCATGGCCAGAAGGAGACTAGGAGGGCCCCACTGCCCTGGACCCTTTAGCTGAGAACTGGCCAGGAGCAAAGGCTCAAGAGACTTACTTTTTGTATCCCTCTGGGGCACTTCTGGGCCTCTGGCAGCCACCTCCATCTCTTGAGAGCCAAAAGTGACCCCTCCCACTACCCCAGGAAGGAGGTAGCTCCGCTCAGGCCACTAAAGCCACAGGGGCCCCCAGCATTTCACAGCTGATCTCCCAAGGAACTTCTTCCTCAAGTTTTACCTGCATCTAAATAAGGACAGGTGGTAAGGGAAATGTCTGTCCCTTCTATTATCTCAGAGTGCAATAATGTTCCACTTCCTCCCCATGTTTTCCTGAGTAACCTACAACTATTGACTACTGCATAAGGTAAGGTGACTTAGCAGAAAGAAACCAGGCTAGAATTTGGCGGACCAGCATTCTAAGTGCCAATTCTGTTACTGACCACCTGTATGAGCTTTAGAAATTCATTGACATCTTGGAGCCTTCCCCATCTCAGTTATAAACTGAGCAGACAGAGTGAAATGCTCTCTACACATTTTTATACTGTGCATGTCACAAGGGTTTGACATGAGGGAATTCAGGCAAATATTTGACAGAGAAGTTAATTGTGCTTTTTCATCCCCAATTCTTTCTGCCATTTTTGCCAATCATTTTCAAGGATTACATGTAATTTAGCAATACCTTACCTTAAATATCTAATTCGCCATTTTATAAATCTAATTCTTCCTGTTTTATGGGAGAGCATTAGTACACTTTTCTCCCATGTATTTTTTTGGTTGAGATATTAGGCTTTGGGAGGCAGACAGATCTGAGACTGAATTTTGCTTCCCCTACTTATTTAGTTGTGTTACCTTATGCAAGATACTTCACTCAGTCTCGGTTTCTTCAGCTACCCAAAAGAGACAATAGGTCTCCTTCAAAAGGTTGTTGCAAAGATTAATAAAATCAAATGAGATAAAATGGTTGAGCATCCATGGCATGGCGGCCTCGATAAAAAGTATTAAAAAAAGATGCTTCCCGGCCTCACCATCTGTCTCAATAGAACACATGTTCCTATAGGACACTTTCGGGCCAGCCAGAATAAGATGATGTGGTATGGTGGACCAAATCCCATGTTTACTGAGAGGCAGAGAAGACCTTTCTTCTGTAAATGCTAAGGTTTTATTAAACAGTCATGGACAGCCTGGCCCCTTAACATGAGTTCCAGAGTCGAGATCACAGGATGGACCTGGATTCGTCCTTGAGCTGTTATCCCCTGTACCCTATGATGTACTTCCTACATTTACAACCTAGTAAAGTGAGCCCAGGGGATTCCAGATTCCCCTAGTCAGTCTAGTCCAGATGGATAGCTTGTGTGACCACCCCAGGATCTAGCCCCACATTTGTTTGTTCATCCAGGGAGTCACTAAGCCAGTCCTTTGGTTAGCTCACAAACACATGTTGATCACTGTGGATAAATCACCATGGAGCTGGAGGTGAATGGTAATTGGTGCCTGCCTTCAAGGGCTTGAGAATCTAGTGGGGGAGTCAGGTCAACAATAAGCTAAACTATACTGGAAGGCAAAAAAATTTACAAAAAGGTGTACTAATCACGGTCAGAGCAGAAAGACAAGAACAATGTATTCTACCTGAGACAGGGAGCAGCCAAAAAAATTCTCCAAGGAGGGGCATCTGACTTGATCCTTAACCAACAAGCAGGCTCTTGTTAGGTGGAGGAGTGAGGGCAGGCATTCTAGGCTGAGGAAGAAGACTAAGGCACAGTGGCCTAAAAACATGAGTGGTCCATGGTGCTGGATGCAGGCCGTGGGAAGAAGATGGAGCTGTGGCCCACAGAGAGGAGCTGATTTAGAACAAGGGCCATATTTGTTTTCCCCACTGCAATGCATTATGGCATACAGACGTGGGCTCTGGAGTCAGACAGCCCTGAGTTTGAATTTTGCAGTGCCATTTCCTAGCTTTATGACCTTGGCCAAGTCTCTTCATCTCTCTGAGCCTCATTATCCTCAACTATAAAACAACTGTCATGAAGGTTTATGAGGTGAAGTATATAAAACGCTCAGCACAGTACCTGCTATTTAAGTTGCTCCATAAGTTATATCAGTAGTTTCATTTTTTTTTTAAAAAAATATATGATCCCAGGAATCAATGTAAGATTATAACTACATTGATCGAAAGGCTGAAATCGGTCTAATGCACTAGGTCATCTGCAGAGTGCATTTTCAATTGTTTGTTTGGAAGACAGCAGAGAAGAATTGTTTGTGGCCTCTGGAGTTTGACAGCCTTGGGCTGGAGTCTCAGTGCCTCTATTTATCAGTCCTGTAGCCTTATACAGGTTACCTAGCCTCCCCTAAACAAAGTTTCCTTATCTGTAAAATAAGATAACAATGCATGTCTCCACAGGATTGCTGAGAAACTTAAATAACAGAGGGAAAGTTCCTGGCACAGAGGAGGTGAGGTAGGCAGCCAAGGGCAATTGTTACTGTTTCAACTGAAAGCTTTATCCCCCTAACCTTCAGGCTTTTAAGGTTTCTTTGTGGGAATTGGAAAATGTGGTCTCCTTAGAGCTGTGAATTGGAACACACTCCCACATGAGGCCAGAGATAAAGGATGCTCTGTACCCAACTAGACCCAGATTAGCAAATCATCCTCCCAGCCTTGCAAGAAGAGACCCTCACTTTGTTCTAATGGCCCAATTCAGGCATCTTTATACAATCTATTTCCTTTCACTATTTTTTGTCAGAGCTCTAAGATCTATTCTTTTTCCTGTTTGATCCCACCCCTATCAGGTCCAACTTCAGATCACTGAATTTGGTGACAAAGCCAATTTAAAAACAGAAGAAGAGTCTGCTGAGACGCAGAATCAGATGTCATGGCATTGGGGAGCAGAAGCAAGAGTCTAAAGAAAACCCAAGAGCTACTGCCAGCATCACCTGACTGTGAGGTGAGGCTTCTACACCCCACAACCTCTATGCTCCTCCATTGTTCCACAAGAGAAAGTCTACGGTCCTCAGATGGAAAGGGCTTCATCTCCAAATTTGAATTGTTTATTCTAAGGAATTCTAGATATTGGGGTTGTAAATAAGAAGGCAGAAAGGAGCAGGTGAAGTACCTTGGCAGGCTGAAGATGAACCCAGCCATCAAAGGGCATCAGATTGTTAATTTACTTTCAAGCATCAGGAATCAAGAACAAGCTCCCACAGGGGGCCTCCTAGCCACAACTGACATAAGGGAAGCAAAGACTTGCTCTTCAAGAACCAGAAGTCGTGGAAAATGAAGCAGGTTTCGCAGCCCGTGGCTTCACGGCCCATTCACTTCCAGACAGCCCTGCATGCTGTTTCCATGGAGTTGCTCCTTCTCTTGGGCCAGTGATGGCAAATCCAGTAAAGGAGAGGTCCTCTCAAGAGCTCACAGAAGGGCAACCTAGCAACCTGTCCTGAAGCCAGGAAATGAAAGCTCTATCAGTGGCAGAAAGCTGTGGTTGGGGGTTAGGTCAAATTGTATTTCATTTCTCACACTTCTTTCTCAAGTTAAAGTTGAAAGAGGAAGATGTTACAAAGAATGATTGTAGGGGAGTGGTTCTTAACCATTTCTAGGCCACCGACTCATTTGAAAATCTACCAAGCTGTGGACTCTTGGCCAACAATTTCAGGAAGGACTCTGCTCAGAAGTTACATCTCGTGATAGATATGCTTTGGAAAGGTAAGGTACATTGGCAGCAGACCTATTTAATTATCACCCTCAGCATAATGTGGTGTTTTAGGCAAGGGTTCACAAACATCTCTACACCTCTGAATTAAGACAAAACTGTTTAAAAATGTAAATCATACTTCCCACCCCTGGTCCGACTAAATCCGAACCCCCAAAGAGGTTGGGCTCAGGAATCTGCATTTCTCACAAACTCTCCAAAATGCTTCTGAGGCAGCCAGCCTTGTACCCATACTTTGGTTAACTGCATGGGTTCTGGCATCAGACAGACTTGGTCCAAATTTTGGCTTCGCCTTGTAATTTCAGAGAAGTCATTTCACTTCTCTGAGCCTTATCTCCTTTGGGGTCATATGCTGTAGAAATAATGTTTTACATCTTTAATAAACTGGCCATTTGTTACAGTGGAAAACAAGACAAAGAAAATGCGTGTTTTCTGTACAATGTGTATCGTAAAAGTTGCCTACCTCTTCCCCCAGCCCTCTACCCGCTGCCTCCTCATCCCCTCCCTCGGAACTACGAGCACACCAAGACTTCTGTTTATATGGTTTGAGACCACCGAAGTAAAGACTCTCTAGGCAGCTCAGCCAGACAAATAGTTGGCATTTGGAGAACAACAGACTTGGGTGCAAAATTGGATGCTGATACTTATTTGTTGTGTGAGGCAGGGCAAGACGCCTAACCTCTCTGTGTCTGTTTCCCCATCTGTGAGATGAAGATAATAGTCCTTGCTCACTAACTCTATATTGTTCCAAATGGGCTCTCCCATCTCCACTTCGGCTCTTCTCCACTAACCTTCAATCTGAGAGAAGAGAGGAGTGTTTACAAGAGGCAGTCTTTGAAATCAGACATGTCGATTTGGGCGTGAGCTCTTAGCTCTGCACTCCCTAATCA